ATAATTTAATATAAATTATATATATATATTTATATATTTTTATATAAATAATTTTTTAATTTTTCATATTTTTTTGTTATATTTATAAGCAGAATCTGGTAGCGATTTACATACTTTTTTTTTTTATTAAATATTATTAATGTTTTATTAAAATTTATTTGTTAAACTCTCATTTTCTTAAAGTACTGCGTCTAATTAGTTTTCCAACTATTCAATATTTAAGTTTTAGGGTAAAATATAATTTTTATTTATGCTATTTTAATTAATATATTATAACATTTTATTATTCTTACTATATTTATACAAAATATTATTTTATAGCTTTTAAATAAAATCAGCTAATTTTTCATTTTCTTCTACTAAATTCAATACTTTACTTTCCAAATCTATAATGATACTTTTTTATTAATTATTTTAAGTTTAAAAATTAGAAATTTATAAATTTAAATTAGTATTATTTTGTTCATTTAAAGTTTGTTATTTCTTAAAATATTCTTTTTCATTATATAATTAGTTTATTTAATTTTCATAAGTAAATATAATTTATTAAATTTAATCTTAATTATAATTGTTTTAATTAATTACACTTTATAAAAATTAATTTTCAGTCTAAATTTTTTCATTTTCAGATATTAATTTTTCTTGTTATTATATTAAATTTTTTATTTTTTATTCATATTAATTGATGTATATCTAATTTTATTCTTATATCTTTATTTCGTTCTATAATTCTTATATTTATTTTTTTAATAAATTATTTTCTTATAATAAATCTATTTAATTATATAATTATTAATATTATTATTATTATTATTATTATTATTATTATTATTATTATTATTATTATTATTATTATTATTTTTGTATGTATTATTTTTTTCTTAATGCTATTAATATGTCGAATTTACTATATATTCATCACTTTATATTTTTTTAGGTTCTTCTTAATATTCTCTTAAAATTTATTAGTTTATATTTAATAATTTTATTTGTTATTATTATTATTATTATTTTTAATCTTGATTTTAAAATAATAATTGCTTTGGAAAATTTTCTGATTATTAATTAAAAGGATAGTAATTATTATTCATCTTTTATGTATAAGCTTTCTTTGTTTAAATTATATTTGTTTTTTAATTTCCAATTTTGATTTTTTTTTTAATGAGAAATCTTTTAAAAAATTTTTTATTATGTAATGATTTTTTTTAATATTTTTTATATTAATAAGTATATTATTTAATTTTATGTTTATTTATTTTAATTATTCTATTTGTTATATATAAAAAATATATAATTTTTTTATTTAATATTTTATATTATACTATATTTATAAATATTTAATTCTCATAATTTAGTTTTTATTTTTTAATAAGATTACAATAAAAATTAAATAAAATATGTATTAAAAAATTTTTATAAAATTAAAATATAATTTATTTTATTTCAATAATAATATATAAAAAAATTTTAATTATTAAATATCATTATGTTCTATTATTTACACAATTTTTAATATAAAATCATTATTTTTATTAAATCAAAAGTAAATATAGCCCCTCCCCTTTATAATAACTAATGTTATAATTCCACGAATTTATTAAAATACTTTAAAAATTCTTTAGAATCTTTTATATTCTCCAATAAATAATTTTAACTAACTAATAAAATATCATGTGTATTTTAATATTTATAACTTCAATAAAAACAATTTCTTTTTATTATAAAATACTAATTAAATTAAACCTCCTAAATTCATCTACTAATGACAATTTGTCCTAATATTAAAAAAAACTATAAGATAAGTTCCTTACTTAATAATTATATAAAAACCACTATTTTTCTTAATGAATAATATTTATATTTAAAGGCTTACGATAGTTAAATTAATCCGATTTCGGCGAATACTTATTTAGAAAATACAGTATTTAATAATCATTAGTATTTATATATTTTTTAAATTATAACATAGATTATGAAAGACATATGAAAATATTTTCGAGCATTAATTTTTGACAGAAAATCAAGATCTCAATATTATTAATTAAGACATTTTTTCCTAATATTCAAGATATTAAGTTAATATAGTTAACAGAATAAATGTTTCCTTAAAAAAACCAAATTGTTAAAATTATCTTTTATTTAATTTTTTATCACAAATAAAATCAAAAACAGAACATGAATTTAGTATTTTGGATTCTCATAAAGTCATATTTATATGCTTATTTGAATAAAAATTTTCTATATTATTATAGCCTTTATTTATGAGAAAAATGAAACAGAATTTTCCTTATAATTTGATTTGAAAGCGTCTATTGAGTAATTTAGATCAAAAATAAATACGTTAATAGAGGAGGTATTTTTTTTATAAATTCTTTAGACAAAAAACAGACTTGTATTTTTTACTTAGATAGTTTATTAAATAAGCGTATTTGATAAATTATATTATTAAAATGTTAAAAAAAATATTTTTCAAATATTTACTTAAATATATATAAGTAGAAAAAAAAAGAAATTATTAACAGTAATAGGGAAAACTATCATAAGAAATTATTTTTAAAATTTTACTTGTTTATTTAATTTTATTAGTTGTGCAGTTAAATAATATTTTTAATCATATTATTGTTTGATTTTTTTTTCTTTTTTCTTAAATTAATTAAATATTTATAAAAAATTTATTTTTAAATTTAAAATTAAAAAAGTTAATATTTTATTTATTTATTTATTTATCAATTATAAAGATGTAAAAATATAATAAAAAAAATTAATTAGAAAATAAATATATATATGAAAAAATAAAATTATGTATAAATTTACAAAAATAAAATTATGTATATATTTAAAATGTATAATTAAATATCAAAAAATTATATAAAAAAAAAAAAATTTTTAAAATATATCTTAAATATATTTATAAAAGAAAAAAAAATATTATCTTTAATTATAATGAATACAAATAAAAATAATATAATTAATTTAAAAATGATAGTTTTTCATATATATATAAAATAAATATATAATAAAAATAATTAATAATTTTAATATATAAAATATCAGAAATAAATAATATATATATATATAATATATATATATATATTTATTATTTTATATAAATATTTATTTTTTATTTTATATATATATTTATATTTATTAAGATATATAAATTTATCAAAAATATTCACTTATCAATTATCTTTTAACCTCTTTTTCTCTTAATTTATTTAAATATTCATCTATATCACTTTCAGCTTAGAAAAACATTCCTAATTTTGATATTTGTTTTGCTAAATATCTTAAATAAAGCATATTAGCATTTTAGTTGCAAATATTAATAATAAGCAAATTAACTTTTTTCTTTTTCATTAAATACCTAATTTTTTTCAATTCACTATCTTTAATTTAATTATTTCCTTCTGTAAATAAACATATAAATCTAACTCTATCACTATCTGTTAATTCTTCTGTATCGTCATTATCTTATTCGTCAATATTATATATATTATTATCACTATTATTATTTATACTATTATAGTCACTTGCATTAATATTTTAAATTAATGCTGAATCTTCTTAATATTAAAAATCTTTTTGACTTCTTAAATTATTATTGTTATTCATCGGACTATTTTTTATGTATCTAATTATTTGATTTCTTCAAGTTTATTCATTTATTCATTTATGTCAAATAATCCAGTTGTTATTTCTAAAGCTTTAAATAAATTTGACTTTCCTCTTTTTATTTAAAAATATTATTGAATATTATTTTTGTTTATTTTTTTATAAAAGAATAAATAAATTTATATTTAAATATACTTTTAATTACCCAGGTGAAAGTGTAATTTGTCTTAGTTTTTTATCTAATAAATCTTTATATAATTCTTTTTCTTATAAAGGAAAACTTTAATGAACCATTTCATTAAATACTACAAATCCAATTTATCATTATCTTAGATTTTATCGAATATATTCTTACAAGTAGAATGTGAAAAATTTATTTATTCTTCTGTCATGTCTTTTGAATAATCTATTAACATAATCAATTCAACTACTTTTAAATTAAATTTATTTAATTTTGGTATTAAACTATTTATATTTAAATAGAATTTCATCATTATATTTTTTAAACATTCTAATGCATATTTCCTTATATGGGGATCGTAAACATTTCCGTTTTAAATTATTCCGGCTAGAAGACAAGCCGCTTTTTGAAAATTAAATTTTGTCAATTCAAGTATTGCTTCTTGTAAATCTATTCTTGATTTTAAAATATCTGGAGGTATTTTGCTAAATATATCTTGGAAAAATTGAGAATTAGTGTTTTCTAATAATTAATAATTATCATTATAATTTTCTATTTCTCGAAATATATTTGTTGCCTTTTTTTTTTTAACAAAAATAAAATAAAATAAATTTATTTTGCTTTTTTAATCTTTTACTTATTAAATATCTGATTCAGCTAAATTATATTCACCTAAACGTAAATGACAATAAGCTTTTTTAGTATGAATAATTATTTTACGAATACTATTTGTCTATGAAGAATACTCAGAAACAGATAAATTAATACATTGATTGAATAAAATTATAGCTTCTTTATAAAAGTTATCTTTTTATTGCCTTGAGTATTCAAAAAGGGCATTTCCTAGTTAATATTTTCTATTTAAAAGTCTAGTTTTTGACAAATCAAATTTCATAAAAAGATCTTATTATAGGTTTTATTAATCTTAATTATTAAGTTATTAGTCTTAAGTATTATTGACAACTTCTAAATTATTAGAAATTAATTTACTTATTTAAGGGGTATTAGTCGGATTATTTTTTTAAAAAATCGATATATTATAATCTCTTATTACTTATTATTATTAATTTCCATCTTCATTATCTTAATATTAATGTTAGGAAGATTTTATTCCATTTGCTTTATTAACATTTGTATTATTTAGTATCATAGCACCACCTGCGTTTGAAAAAGGAACACTAGGTTTTTTCTCAGGAGTTTAGTTAAAAAAATTTTTTTTAAAGGGCCTAATTAAAATAAAGGTCCATTTCCAGTAGAGACTGTTTTATTTTTTTTTCCAGATCGAGAGGGTTTTAGTGGAGATTATGGAATTTTATTATTTTGTAAATTTTAATAGAGTTATTTTTTTGATTTTATAAATTTAAGTTTTTTCATTTTTTCAATTGTGTCATTATATTCTATTTTAGCCATTAAAATAGATTCTTAGTATTCCGAAACTGCTTCAAGATATCTATTATGGTGTAAATGTATATTTCCAATATTATTGCAACATATACCTACTCCGTTTTAATTTCCCATTCCATTATAGAATTTTTTGGCTTTCGATAATTCTAATAAGGTTAAAGCATCATCGTCATGGAATTTTTAGTTGGAGTATTTAAAGTTGTTTAAGAGTTTAATAATTACTTCGAAAAGAGATTTCATCTCGTCTGATGTGAAAAAATCTTCTTGTCTTTTTTATTAGTCTTCTTCTAGTTATTCGGGATCAATATCGTTCATTTTTTCGATTATTGCTTTAATAGGATTCTCAAAAGAAAAAGAAATAATAAATGAATAACGGGTTACTATACAACATGAAAATAAAGATATTATACATATTACTCCAAATGATACGAATTCTATTTATTTTAAACGGGTTGTAGTTTCGTCAAATTAATAGTATAAATCTTATTCGGATATTGTTTAGATTATATAATATAAAATCTCGTATAGGGCTTTTTCCTCTTTAGAAGTTTTGATCTGGATAGGAGATATTAAACAATAATATAATTTTCCTTATTTAGTATATTAAAAACGTGATATTTGTTATTTTTCATTTTTATTTCCAAAATCATATGCTTATTTTTAGTATTAAAATTTTTACTTTTTTTTTTGTTTATTTATTTTTAAATATATTTTTTTATTATACTTAAAATAATTAAAGTTCATTTGTATATGGTTCTACGCCTAAAAATTCTAGTTCTATATAAGATTATTAGTCATGACTAATACTTGAATATATGATATAATTTTCATCATTATTCATAATTAAAAAAATATTTCCGGTCTTTTATAATGTCAGATTATCTTATAATAGTGTTTTTTTTATTGCAAAATCAAATTAAGAAAATAAAATGTATTTATCACCTAGCTTTATACTTATTCCTTCAGAAATTTCACCATTTAATTAATAATCTTTAAATGAATATAATTAAGGTTATTTGTTTAAACATAGATATTAAAAATTAAACTTTTAATAATATTCTTCATCAATACTTTTGATACAAGATTTCGTTGAATAAAAATGTATTTAACTTTTAGAAATGCTTTATAAAGTAAATAAAGGTATAAATAAGGTAGAATTTGATAAAGTATTCGTTATTCCTGAAAAATAAGCAAAATTACTTTAAAATTCGGATTTGTGTAAATAATAGTCTGCAATGTTAAATTTCAAATAATTAGTAAATAATTACATTTCATTAATTTAATTGGATTACAAAATATCGGCATTTTAATTTTTTTGATAAAATCCAGTATACTTTTAAATTTTTAAATAAATAATAATTAATTTTAAATTTTAATATTTATAGATAGAATAATAAAAATAAATATATATATATGGATATATATATATATATATATATATATATATATATATATATATATATATAATATTTTTTATTTCACATTTTTTATTTTACTTAAAGAAATTTAGATTTTTATTGTTATTCTATATCTTTTTATATTTCTTATTTTAAAGTATTATCTAAAATATCTTTTATATTTATTAATTTTTATTTTGAAAGATTTTCTTAATTTTTTATTTGTATAGTTTTATTAACGAAAATCATTTCATATATATTTTTTAACTAATTTATCTACTCAAAGTTTTCTTAGTATAAACTTTCCAATTGCTAATCTATTATTTATATTTATTTTTCATTTTGTGATAATTCTTAGTTTAAATAATCGCTTTAAACTTCTTCGAATTAACTTGGCAAATAATTAAAAGATGATATTGCTATTATTACAATACATATTATAGTTATTAATAAAATTGGGCAAGCTAATACAAAAATTCTCTTATTTATTTGCATTTAAAAAATTAATTTTGAGCTTCAAATTTTTTATTTATTTAATTTAAATAATATTTTTATAACTACAATTCTTATATATTTTTTTTGCTTAATAATTATATTTATTCATGTTAAATTAAAAAAAATAAAAAAATAACAACTAATTAAATTAAATTTTTAATTAAAAAACAAAAAGCCAAAGTATTGAAAATAAAAAAAAAATAACTTAAATTGATATCAATAAAAAAAAATTTTTAATCTTTTTTCTCTTCTATGTCTCCAAAAAATATTCATCCAATAATCAATATAGCTTATTTAAATAAAGATTTTCAATCCAATTTTAAAAATTCAATATTCGATTGTATAGATATAGATAAATCCAAAATAGAAACAATTATAAAATCTAAATAAAATACAATCAAAAATTAAACCACTTAAAATTTTTTTTTTTTTTTAAAAAAAAAAATACTCATACTTTTTGTAAAAGAAATTCAATTAATTAATTATAATATAATTTCTAAAATACATAAAACCCTCTTTTTATTTAAAAAAAAATTAAGAATTAAGACTGTATAATACATCTAAGACATTTTAAAGATGATTATTATTTTAAGAAGTAGCTAAAATATAAACTGTAATCAAATATTTTTAAATGAAAATAAAAGGAAATTAAAAAAGAATAAAAATATATAATCAACAAATCGAATTAAATAACTGTTTAAAATAATTAACCGTATTAAAAAATAAAAAAAAAATTCAAATAATTATATGATATAAAAATAAATAATAAAATATTATAATATAAAAAGTTTAAGGTTAAGTAGGTTAAGTAGAATAGATAAAGAATGTATATTATTTTTAAACAAAACAAAATAATATTAATAAATATTACTATAGAAGTATATTAAAAGTACTTTTTCGGATATAAATTTGAAGAAATCTTTATTATATTTCTAACATAAGGAAATTTAATTAAACGATTATTGCCTTTTTCGAATTTTTTAAAATGAACATTAAGGTTTTTACGAATCCAAAAATTTAACGAGGAAAATTTGGTGGTTATTAAATATATTAAACTTTAAAATTTTAAAAAGTTATTCCTCTTTAGTTTTTTTAAATAAAAAGAACTTATTAATTTTTAGCTTTTTTCTCTATCGCATATACTATTTGTGGAAAAGATACTCTCTTTTATAAATTAAAGTTTGTAGTTTTCATAATTATTGAGTTAAATTAATGCGGTTTTGGATTAAAAGGAATTTAAAGAAATATTGTAGAATTATTTAAGAGATAAAAATTTGATTTTTTGATGTATAAAATGATTCTTTTAATAAAAAAGCTAAAAGTTGTTTAATTATTTTAAAAAATGGTTTATTTTATCACTTTTTTATTCATTTAAAATAAATTAAATTGTATATGTATATATTTATATTTAATCTTTTTTATTAAATTAAAAAGTTTTTATAAATAATTTATTTAAACAACTTTATTTATAAAAATTAAAATAAAAATGTAAATTTTAAAAATATAAATACATATATACATATATATTAAATATTTTTTAAAAAAAACAACTAATTATAAGCATAATATTTAAATAAAATAATGGAAAAATATACAAAAATCAAAGTAATTGGAAAAGGTAAAAACATTTAAAAAATTATAAAATAAATTAAAATAAAAACTAGGTAGTTTTGGTTATGCAGTTTTAGTTTAATCCAATACTGAAACAAATAAAAAATATTACGTCATTAAAGTAACAAATAATTAAAAAAAATAGCAAAAAAAAAAACTATTAAGATAATTGACATATCAAAAATGGATAGAAAACAAAGAGAAGAATCTTTAAATGAAGTTCATGTATTAAAAGCGTTAAGACATCCTTATATAATAACTTATAGAGAATCTTTTATAGAAAAAAGGTTTTTTAAAAAATAATAAATATATCCTTTTAAAAAATGATTAATATTATAGATGTTTATGTATTATAATGGAATATGCTTAAGGAGGTGATTTGTTTGTTAAAATAGGAGAATAGAAAAATAAAGGGTAACTTTTTACAGAAAAATAAATAATAGATTGGTTTATATAAATGGCAATAGCTTTAAAACATGTACACGATCGAAAAATATTACATAGGGATTTAAAGACATAAAATATATTTTTAACTTCAAAAGGAGACATAAAAATAGGTTTTTATTTTTATTAAAAATAAATTAAAACAAAAAAAATAAAGGTGATTTTGGTATTGCAAGAGTATTATAACATACATATGATTGTGCCAAAACAGCTATAGGTACGCCTTATTATTTAAGTCCGGAAATTTGTCAAGAAAAGCCTTATAATTAAAAATCTGATATTTGGTCTCTAGGATGTATATTATATGAAATGACTACTTTAAATCATGCTTTTGATGCTAATAATATGAAAGGGCTAGTTTTGAAAATTTTAAGGGGGACTTATCCACCTATTCATAATTAATATTCGGATAATTTAAAAAATTTGATTTCTGATATGCTAATTAAGGATCCTTCTAAAAGACCTTCAATAAGAAAAATATTAGAAAATGAATTTATTAAAGTTCTTTTTTTAAAAAAAAAATACATCATTTATAAAAAAAATAATAGAATAGAATTAATGAAGTATTTATAAATACTTTATAAAGTAATGAACTTTGTACTAATGCTTAAATTTTAGAAATAAAATTATCAGAAGAACAAATTTTATAATAATCTGAAAATGAAGATTTACAAAAGTAATTAATTTTATTATAAATATAAAATTAATAAAAATATATTTAGAGTAGAAACTAAAAAAGAATAAGCTTAAAAATAAATAGAACAAATACCTATATAGATAAATATTAAAAAAAATGAATAAAATAAAAGCTAAGTTATAATAAATATGAATAAATAAGTAGTAAATCAATAATAAATAAATTAGTCATAAAAAAATAAATCAATACATGAGTAATAAAAAAATACTAATTAATAAATAAATATTTAATAAAACTCTAAAAGTCCTATAAAAATATACTAATAATAATACATTACAAATATAAGTAATAGCAATGATACGGCTTAAGGTAAAGAAAATTTAAAAATGAACTATTCGCCTAAAGAATATTATCAAATAAATAATTAAAATTAACAGGAAAAATTTAAAAAATTCAATTATAAATATTAATATTTAAAATAATAATATTTATGAAAATAAAATAAATTAATCGAAATAAATTATAATTGATTAAAAAGATTGCGTGTAAAATATAAAAATAGATAAATATGAAAATAATTATAATAATAATATAAGTCTATTAAAAAATAATGAGATAAATAAAATAGATTAAAAAATTCAATAAAATTAAAATAATTAAAATAAACAATAAATAAAAAATACATAAAACGAATAACAAAAATAATATTAATAATAATAATATAAATAATAATAATTGTATTAGTAGAAATATTTATAATAATAATAATAATAATAATAATAAGAATAATAATAATAATAATATAAATAATTTTTAATTGTAAAAAAATAATAGTTCTAATGAAATAAATCATAAAATTTAATATATCAATTTAAAAAAAGATAGTGATAAAATTTAAAATTAAATTTAAATAAGTTAAAATATTTTAAATTAAAGCATAAACGATTGTAATATTAATTTATATAGTTTATAATTATTTAAAAATATATAGCATTTGAATAATAAGAATAAGGAATATTAGAAAAAAAAATTAACGATTGTTTAAATGTTAATATATAAAATAATATTTATGATTAAATAGAATAAAAAATATTAATTAATGAAAACAATGATAATAAAGAAAATCAAGACACTAATTTTATAATATTTCCAAAGTAATTATATTATAATAATTTATATATAAAAAAATTAATATAAATTAAATATATTTATTTAATAATATATAAATTATTTTATAATAAATTTATATATATTTATATTTATATTTATAATTATATTTATATTTTTTATTATTTAAATATATATATTTATAGATTTCTATAAATTGAATCTAAAAGTTTTTTTATTTCTGGTGTATATGAATAAGATACTAATTTTTCTAAAATAGAAGCACTAAGATATTATTTAGAAAAATAAATAGGAAACATTTTTTATGAAGTTTATAAATACATTGAAGTAAATAATTTTTTTTTTTTTTATTAAAAATAAATAGTTTTCATAAAATATAGACGATAATGTTATATTAAATATGATTGGTTCAGATAAAATTAAATATATACCTTTGATATTTTAATTAATATTTTTGTGAAGAAAATTTTTATGTAAATAATTGAAAAATTATGGTATATAGAAATTTTTAACTCCTAATATTTAATTAAATTAATTAAATATTTATATACTTTTAACATAATTTATATATATATATATATATATATATTATATATTTTAATAAATAATAAATATTCATTCTTCAATTTCAATACCAAAAACTTTTTTATTAAATTCCTTTTATATTTATTAAAAGTATTATATTTATTCATTATTATTAATAAATATTTTTTTAAATATTAAATCTCCGTTTTCTTCGTCATCCTAATCTCTTTTTATTCTTCGTTTTTTCTTTTATTTATCTTATATTTCATTTAAGCTTCCTTAACTTACATATATATCATCTTTATCACTTAATACTACATATTTACTATCTTCATCTTAACTAGAGTTTTCTTCATTATCTACATCATCTCCATAAGATAAAACAGCTTATAATGCTCCTTACTAGTTTTCTGAATTTTATAAATTGTATGATGGAATATTTTTTCTTTTAGTAAAAAAACCACTTTAGGCTAATCTATAAGAACCTAGACTAATAATTTCATCATATTTACTACTCCATCCCTATTTTTGAATATTTGGTTTTTTATTTTGTATTATATTTTAATATTTAACTTTGTAATGAATTAATAAATGCTTTTATTTTGATGAAGTTTCTATTATTTAAACTACTTCCGCTTTACACCATATATTTAATTTATCTATAACATCTATTGTTTAATTTAGTTATATATCAGTCACTCTTTATTTATTTATTTATTTACATTAAATTTATTGTTTTTTATATTTTATTTTTAAGGGAAAATTATAAAAATATTAAACCTTCTTTCATTGTTCCATTTTAAAAATTTATTTACTTGTTAATAAAACTTGTATATTATTTTTTTATCATGATATTAATTTACAAACCTATTTTCATATTTTTTTTTTTAATAGTTTTTATTTTTTTATGTAAAACGCAAATTTGTTTAGAAAATAATAAAATACGCATAATAATTTTAAAATAAATAATACACATATAATTTTTATAAAAAATTACTTAAATACTAAATAACTTAAAAGCTTATTAGGTGAATAACTATAGCTAATAGTATCAGCCTTACAAATAGAACAAATCTTTTTTTTAAAAATAAATAAATAAATAGTAAAATTAATTATTTTAATAATTTTAAAATTATCTTTTATTAATATCTTTTTAAAATATAAATAAAAAATTATTTTTATATAGATATATTCATTTTTCATATTAATATTAATATTTGTATTATTTTAATTTATTTAAAGTATTCTTTATACATTCTTTTTTAATAAAGATTCTGTTAAACATATTTCACAAAATGTATGACCACAAGTTGTTTGTACAGGATTTACAAAAAAATCCATACATATTGGGCATTCTAATAATTATTAAGTGACTATTTATTGAACTATTTGAATTTCTATTTTGATTTTTATTATTCAAATAATATTATATTATTTTATTAAATGCTATTTTTTTTTGAAAATTACGATTATGATAATTAATAATCTTTTATTTTTGAAAATAATTGGATCTTTATTTTTCCAAAAATGATTTCATTAATTTTTATTAAGTTATTTTTAATTATATTTTTTTCATTTTTTACTTTGTTTTTTCTCTTTATATATTTAAAAAAAAAAAAAAAAGTTTATATATATTAAATTAATTAATAAAAAAAATTAAATTTTTTTTTTTTTTTTTCAAAAAAATAAAACAAAAAAGACTATTTTTACAAATAAATATATTAATTATTAAATTTTAATTTATTTGTAATGCAATATCGAAAAAAATTTAATATATAAAACAATAAATAATAATATATATATATATATAAATAAACATGAATACTATCGTAGAAATATGTAAATACAAATATAACTATACCCAAAAAAAATAAATATTTTAATTGAAGTCATAATAATTTTTATTTGCATCTTGTTTTAAAAAATTAAAGTACAAATAAAATCTAAATTAGAATTATATTATAATGATAATATGTAAAACAGATTATTAATAAATTTATGTAAATCATTAAAAAACGGGAGATTTTTCCCCACTTTTTATCTAGGAACAGGATTATTATAAATTCTTTTTAGTTAAAAATCTAAGTTTAAAGAAGACCCAAATTTAAAATTTTAAAAATAATATGTAAAAATATCCTAATATGGCGAATTTTGTATAGGTATTTAATTTTATTTTTACTCCCAAAAATAAAAATTAAAAAAAAATAAGATTGGGCTATAAGTACATCATAACAAAAAAGATAAAATAATAAAAAATTAATCATAGTGTTTCCTGGATTAGTATCATCCACAAACGAGCCATATATCTAAAATATAATGTCAAAAATGTATATGGAAGGTTACAAAGTATGTTTAATAAATGACAGAATTTATACAAATAGAGATCCTTGTAAAACAATCGAATTACCAGAAAATGAATATTTTTCTTTTGTAAAAGATTGCCGAGAAGTTATAAATATAATTAAATAAGAATATTAGGATTATTAATTTTATGCAATAGGACATTCTTTTGGGGCGAATACTTTGGCCAAATATTTGGGAGATTTTTCTAATGAAAATCCATTTTTAGCAGCTGTTTGTGTTAGTAATCCTTGGGATTTTTATATTGGGATTAGACATTTGAGTTAAATTGCAGATAATTATTTAGTTAGCTCTAGAAAGAAAGTACTTATGTTACATAAAGAAAGATTTTTTGATAAAAATTAGAAACTTTTTGATTATTAAAAAATCGATTGTTCAAAAAATTGTATTGAATTTGATAATTAGTTTATTGTTAAAGCTTAAGGATATAAAACTGCTGATTAATATTATAGAAATATTAGCAGGTTTTTTTATAATTTAATATAATTTTATTATAATAAATAGTATTCATGCTATTGATAAAATTAAAATTCCGGTTTTGTTTTTATAATCTAAAGATGATCCAATTTTAAATTATAGAACTATTCCTTATGATGAAGTAATGCATACTCATAATTTAATTATGGTGGTTACTAATACTGGTATTAATTTTTTTCATTTTAGGGAGATTATTTTATTATTTATATAAAAAAAGGTGGACATGTAGGTTGGTTTGAAGGACTTTTTCAACCTAAAAGATGGTATATTAAACCTACTTTGGAATTTTTATAGGCAGTTGATTTTTTAAATGAGAATAGTAATGTTAAAAAGTGAAATAATTAATTATAAAAAAATAATTTAAGTCATATATATTATAATATGTATTTCAATAAATTTATATAATTAAATATTATTTTTTTGTTATTTTAAATATTATTTGAATTTTTTTTTTTTATATAATGTTATTATTAATTTAAATTAATATTTATTTTCATTATTATTTTAATCATATATTTTTATTCTGTTTTTTATATTAACTTGAAATTACTTTATTAAAATATATATTTGTCTTAATATATTAAATTTTAGAAGATTATTCAAAATTATCTATATTTCTGTTTATTCCTAAATGAGTAATTTATATTTATTTATTTAAACTTGTATTTAAACTACTAAATTAATTAGAAAGTATTTTTTATAAATAATTGTTTTTTTATAGATATTTAAGTTCATTAATTTTATCTTTAATTCGTTCTTCTAATGGTTTTTTTTTTATTCTTCTTTTAAATAAAACGTATGTTAAGTTTTATGTTTATTTATTTAAGGAATCTTATATAAAAATAAATAGAAAAAAAACTTAATATAAATAAATTAATTTACAATTAATTTCCTTCTTTTTTTACTTAAGTCAATTTAATTTTCTGTAAAAATTTACTTCGACCCTTATTTTGGTGTATTTATATTAATTTGAAATTCATTGCTTAAAATAATACTTTCAAGTTACAATTATTCGTCAATATTGCAAAAAAATACTGTTTCTTAAGTTAAAATAATAGAACAGTTTTCTTTTAACATATATTCATTTATAATATGCTATTACTAATGGATATTTTAATTTCCTGTTTAAAATTTAAAAGGCAATAAAGGCATAAATATAAATAAATTTAAATTTATTTAACAAAATTAAATTTTAAAATTATCCATGTAGTTTTTTATATTTTTATCTGAAGATTATAATTATAGACTGTCTTTAGATTCTTTTATTCCATTTATAGATCTTTTGTTTTTTAATTATAAATATAAAAATAATTATATTTTTTATATAATTAATACTTTTAATGAAAATAATTTGCATTATCTATATTTACTAAATGAAAATAAACTAATCCCATTTCTTCATATATATAAATTTCTGAATCATAATCATTAATATACCATATATATTATAATGCTTTTTTCAAAAAAATAAGCGAAATATTATACAAATGTAACTTTTTAGAAATTTAAGACAAGCTTAATAAACTTTATATTTTTATTTTATAATTTTTTGTATAATCAGTTAATTATCTCTTTTATTATTTTATTTTTAATTGAAAAAAAATTATGTATATATATATATATATATATAGTTATAGATTTAATATCCTTACAAGCATATTAAATGTATTTATAGCAGATTTTAAATCTGAGAACATTATATATGTTTCTCCTGTTAATGATATTGTTTCCATAAATAATTCTAAATCATCTATTTCTATACTAAATAATAATATTTATGACAATTCTTTTTTTTTATTTAATTTATTAATATTATTTATATTTTAAATATATAAAAAAGCCTTTTATGCATTCCTATAATGTATCAAAACTTTTTAAATGTCTAAATATTTTATTTTTTGAATCTAATAATTTCATTATTATTAGTAATTTTTAATCGAAAGTTTTATTTTAATTAGAATGAAAACTCATTCTTTTAAATTGATTTGAAATTTATATTTTTTAATTTTATTTTTCAATAATTTTAGGAACATAATTAATTCTTAATTCAGTATTAAGCTTGTCTTTTTTAAATATTGTTGAATATTATATATTTTTTTTTAAATAACTTTTTGTTTAAATATTAAATTATTTTAGATTTTAAGCCTCATTTTTATATATAGAATTTTTCAAACTAAAAAATAGTTTTTTTTAATTATTTGTTAATGAAGGCGAGTTAAGTTTTGATTATTATGTAAAATTATTATACATTAAAAATATATATATAATTGTAAATAAAAAAAATAAAAAATAATAATAATTATTAAAAAATCTGTTTAAAATATATAATTAAATAAAATAAATATATATTAAACATATACATATACATATACATATACATATACATATACATATACATATACATATACATATACATATACATTTACAATCATAACATTTCATTTTCTTCATCTTTATCATTTTCATCAAATTCATTATCGTAACTTTAATATCCCAAACTTTATTACTATTAATCAGAATCAGAACTTTAATTTTATTAATACTTAGTTTTTGGTGATTATTAGCTATATTTCTTTTTTTTTTTAGAATCGATTTATTCTATATTAGATCATATTCAAATTCATACATTTCAAAAGGTTATTTATCTAAGCAATTTTCTAAAGTATTTAAATACATATTTTCTACATCTTAATATAATTAAGGTGGTTTTTAATTATAGAAAATAGCTTTGCAGATCATTAGAGATTTTCTTAAATATTTAATTTTTTTATTTTCTTAGTCATCTTCTGAATCTCTTAAAAAGAATTAATTATTCAAATTTTATTATTTTCTTTTATTAATTATGATTTCAATTTATGCTTTTTTGACTATTTATATAACCATATTTTTTATTTAATCCTATGTGTATTTATCTTAATTCATTAATAATTCTTATATCATTTATCTAGATGTTGATATATAAATATTTTATAATTGATCTCTTTGAACTATTTCTTTTTCTTATTCAAAATTTATATATTGGTAATATTATTTATTTTCTTGATTGTCAATAGAATTTTAATAAATCTTTTATTTATATATATATATATATATATATATATATATATATATATATAATTATATATTTTTTTTTATAATTTTTTTATTACTTATTCAAACTTTTCTATTAAAAATATATTTATTTTTTGTTTTTAGTATTCATAAAATATATTAAATATAGTTTTTTCATTTAAAAGCATTGATTTTATCACAAATTCAATAATAAATTCATTTATTCGATATTTATCATCATCTTATAGTACCAAAGTAAGTATTAATTTAGAGTTATAGATGATTAAGTTATATATTTTTTCATGAATTAAAGCTATTTTAAAGTATATATATGCACAATAATAATTAACTGTAGAACCAAGTGCTATTTTATATAAAGAAAGTGATTTTTTAAAGAAATATTTAGATTATATAATATTCTTAAGACTGATAAATAAAAAATATTTATTTTAAAATTAAAATAAAAAAAATACCAATCTAAAATTCTCCTTATATATAATTAATATTGGCAATGTCAGTATTATTTAAAAGATGTTCGTTTTAAGAATTACTATATGCTTTTTCTAAAATTTAAAAAACTTCCTTTATATATTGTTTAATATAAATAATTATTTCTTTATTTGTAATAGGTTTATCTTTTTTATCTTATTCTAAAATATAATTAGATTATATTAATTTTATTTTATCAATAAGTTTATGTTTTTTTTATTTGCCAATCAGAGTCTAATCTTTAATATTAAAATATTTCTATTAAATCTTCCTTATTTCAGGCCTATCTTCTACTATTATATAATTGTCTTTTAAATTAGTTTCTTTAATATCCCAAACAACTGATTTTATGCCAAGAATAGAATTTAATTTTTACTTAAACTCCTCTATTTTATTTTGTTTTATCTTCTGTTATTTAGTTATTAATTATTTGATTTATTTTTATTTAATAATGTTAATTTAAATTAATAAAAAAAGACTAATGGAATTCGAATAAAAAACAGAATTTTATCCTTTTCGTTATTTGATCTATTAATTTATTAATATATATATATATATATATATATATATATATATATATATATATATTATATATATATATATTGTTAATACTTTGTTTGCCATTTATTATATTTAAAAATAATAATCTATTATATCTTATGGTTTATGTTTTATATTTATATAAGCTTATTTAATTTCTATGTCTGTCCTCCAATTATCTAAAGAAATTAAATTTTCAAATATATTATTCTTTCGTGTATCTTTAGTTTAAATAGGATTATTTATATCAAAATTTTTTAAGATATTATCATAATATTAGCTAGATTATGATTTATTTAACTACATGTTTAAATTACTAAAACTTTGTATGCTTTCTATATGTTTAAATGCTTCTATCTTTTCATATGTTTCCCTTTAGAAATCTTATTGGTTTATTTTTTATTTATTTTATCCTAATAATTTATATATTAAATCAGATATATCTTTTAAATATATTGAGCATTCTTAATATTCCATTTTAAAATATAAATAATTTCCTATATTTATTTTTTAAAAAAGCTATTGATATATGTATATATATATATATATATATATATATATATATATATATATATATATATATATTAATATATTATATTTATACCTATAGCATCTAATAATTTTGCAATTTTTATAATTTTTATAGTTTCGTTCTATTCAATTATTTATTCAGTAATAACTTGTTTTAAATTTTTTTTAAGTTCTTCGAATTCTCCTTTTAATTCTCTAGTATCTTAATAACATCTAATAATAAATAATTAATATTTTATAATATCTAAGAAATTAAAGACTGAATAATACAACTATTATGACCTATAATCATCTTTATAATGTTATTTTTCATCCAAAAACACTTTACAATATTAAACTAAATTCTCAAGTACCTATCTGGCTTATTTATATTTTTAAACTCTAAAAAGTACTTCAGTATATATAAATTAAATCCTAATATATCTACTTTCTTATTATTCTATTTAAAAAAAATGTTCAAGTAAAATTCCTTCTTCCTTTTTTTTTTTTTATCCAATTAATTTTTAATAAATATATATAAATTACTTTTTATTTTTAATTTAAATATTAATCATAATCAAAAGTTAAAATTTATTAAAAAGCTTCAAAAGCATCTCCGAATTTACCTATTTCTAAAAAATAAATACATTTCATATAGTTTATTTCTGAAATATAAAGCTAATCTGTTTCCTATAAGCATACAATATTTAACTAATCTATTAATTTATGCATAAAAAAACCTCTCA